AAGGTTATGAGCATCATCTTTATTAAAAACCTAAATAAAGGAATTGGGTGGAGATATTTCTGAGCAGACAATGAGAAATGAGTCAGTGAAAGGAGCTAGAAATAGCTGGTTTGATTCTGTTTACATTGTCCATGAACTCCAAAAAATGGTCTACAAAAAGTGTTAAGCTACACAATTCCTTGTCATTATAATTTTTTCTTTGTTTGCTTATTAATTAATTTATTTTTGTTACAGATGTTTCTTCTTTTCCCCCACCAGACACCTTCTCCCTATCCCCTTCCACCTCCCAGCACTGTTATCTATGTCCATTGGTTATGCATACATGCATAAATTCTTTGGTTTATCTCATCCCTCCTCCTCCAACCCCCTCCTCTGAAATTTGTCAGTTTGAACCTTACTCCATTCTATATCTCTGAGTCTATTTTGTTCATCAGCTTTTTCTGTTCATTATATTCCACAAATAAGTGAGATCATGTGATATATGTCTTTCGCTTGTCATTGTATTGATCGTATTTTGTTTCTCTTTAGTAAAAAAAAAAAAAAAAAAATCTTTAGAAAATATTAAAGGAATTCCATGTAAAGTGGATATAGATTTTTTTTCTGCCTAGCATCTCTCTGGTACTTTTACTATAGTTTTGAGGAAAGAGATGATGGAGGTGGGGTGTGGGCAGGAGATGAGAATTATTAACTATAAAAATGATGTCATCCTGGAGCTCCTGGTGGCTATCTTTGCCACTTTGTCAGGAAAATCTGCCCAGAGCAAAACAGAGACAGAGTAAGTCAACCCTTGAGGATATAATGTGAGCACTATGATTTAGCCATGACTTAAGTTCATTGTTAGAACTTCCCAGTTAGAAATCCAGACAAGCCTTTGTTTCAACTATTTCTGGTAGGATTTCTGTTACTGACATAATTTACTATGCTTCTTGGAGTTTGGTGATAGCTGGTATTTGGAAATAGCTAGGCTTATACTTTGGGCAGATGAATGTAGTCAACAAAGAAAGCAAGCACTTAGCAGCTGTATGGAAAAAAAACAGCAGAACAAACAATAACAACAAAAGAGGTTGAAGAACTTAAATCCCTGAGTGACCCTACTTAGAGGTCAGGCAATTTGATGATGATGTTTATCATTCCATTGGTTTATCTGATTTGCCTAGCTATGTGACTGTCCTTTGCTCTGTTTCTTCCCGTTTCTCATCAGGTAGAATAAAATGTGGGGGAATTTCCTGATAGAAAGAGAAACCATTAGGAAGTGAGGATGGGGGTGTTATTATTACTGCTGTTTCTGTTTGTGCTTTGGATCTCCCCAGGAGACTGAATGTCCTTCAGAACTCGATTGTAATCTTGTTTTACTTGCTCATACAGTACAGCATATCCTGAGATAACGTCTTTTCGTCAATGGTGTTTCATTATAATGTTGATGAGATGCTGTAGAAACTTAGCCCTTGCTTTTATCAATTAACCCAGCTATTTTCAATCTTTTTCATCTTATGCCACACATAAACTATTACTAAAATTCTGAGGCACACCAAAAAATATATGTTTTTGTCAATCTGACCAAAAAAATAGATATCATTTTGATTTATTATTCCAGATGGCTATCGTTATGTTGGCTGTTGTTGTTGTTGTTGTTGTTGTTTTTTTTGTTTTTTTTTTTTTATTTAACAATCTAAGGGAAAGAGGTCAGTGATCCTCTTTTTTATTTTTGCATGTTTTAAAAATTCTTGCAGCACACCAGTTGAAAATTGCTGAATTAGCTTATGGTAAAATTGATTTTGTTATAAACCATTTCACTCAAAGTTGCAGAGATTATTGACAATGTTAAGTGAGGATGTACTGGACACCCAATGCTTGGTACAGTGCTAGACGACTGCAAAACTTAATGCATGTTTGTGGCAGAAACTAGTAACTTTATCTTAGGCTTAAAGTCAGTGTATTTAGATCTGATGGAAGTATCTTGCTCAGAGGATGGCACAATAAAAGACTCAGAAGGGTTAGGAAACAAGTGTCAGCTTATAGCCCAGAGGTATCATTAGAGACTTGACCTACTCTGACATTGTTAAAAAACTGCCTCCAGAGGGAGAAAAACAAAACAAAACCACAGTAATGTAGTATGCATCTGTTTTGTATCAAAATATAATATTTTTCTGATTTTGTGAATAACAAATGGTCTACTTTACAGCCACAAATTTTAATTTTCAAGCCATCATTTTGTGACTAACAATATTTTGCTTTTAATCTTCTAAATGATGTGTCATGGGTATTCCATGAAAATATAAACTTTGGAGGTCTGAAGTGATACATTACTTCATTATTTTAGAGAAAGTGGAAGGGAGGAGAAAGAGGGAGAAAGAGAGAAACATTAATGTGTATGAGACACATTGATTGGTTGCCTCCTGCACGCATGAAAAATGGGGCTGGGGATCGAACCTGCAAACCAGGAATGTGTGATTGAAAATCGAGGCAAATGGTCTAACTATTGAACCACACCAGCCAGGGCACTTCATTCTTTTTCTTTTCTTTTTTTTTAAATTTATCTTTATTGTTGAATGTGTTACAGATGTCCCTCTTTTTTCCCCTCTTAACCCCCTTCTCCCAAATCCTGCCCCCCTCCTGCTTTCCCCACACTATTATCTGTGTCTACTGGTTATGCATATATGCATAAAAGTTCTTTGGTTTTTCTCTTCCCACCCCACCTCCCCCCTTCCCATTGAGGTTCATCAGTCTAACAACTAATTTGTACTTCCTAATCCCTACATCTTTTTCACCCAACTCCCATCCCATCTGGCAACCAATAAAAAGTTCTCTGTATCTATGAGTCTGTTTCTGTTCTGCTTGCTCATTTTGTTTATAGATTCAATTATTGATAGATATGTATTTATTGCCATTTTATTGTTAATATTTTTTTATTTTCTTCTTCACAAAGACCCGTCAACATTTTATATAATACTGGTTTGGTGGTGATGAACTCCTTTAGCTTTTTCTTGTCTGGAAAACTTTTTATATTGCCCTCAATTCTAAATGATAGCTTTGCAGGATAGAGTAATCTTGGTTGTAAGTTTTTGCTTTTCATCACTTTAAATTTTTCTTGCTACTCCCTCCTGGCCTGCAAAGTTTCTTTTGAGAAATCAGCTGGAAGCTTATGGGAGCTCCTTTTTAGGTAACTAACTGCTTTTCTTTTGCTGCTTTTAAGATTCTCTCTTTTTCTTTAACCTTTGACATTTTGATGATGATGTATCTTGTGTGGACCTCTTTGGGTTCATCTTGTTTGGGATTCTCTGTGCTACCTGGACTTGTATGTCTGTTTCCTTCACCAAGTTAGGAAAATTTTCTGTCATTATATTTTCAAATAAGTTTTCAATTTCTTGCCCTCTCTTTTCTCCTTCTGGACTCCCATATGGGAATGTTAGCATGCTTGAAAATTTCCCACAGGCTCCTTATACTATCCTCATTTTTTTTTATTCTTTTTTCTTTTTGCTGTTTTGACTGGGTGTTTTTTTGTTTCTTATATTCTAAATCAATGGTTTGCTTCTTGGCTTTACCTACTTTCCTATTGATTCCCTGTAAATTATTCTTTATTTTAGTTATTCTTTAGTTATTCTTTATTTTATTCTTCATTTTTGACTCATCCTTTATTGTGCTCTTGAGGCCCTCACTAAGTTCATTGAGTGTCCTTATAGGCAGTGTTTTGAACTCTGCATCTGTTAGATGCTTATCTCCATTTCATTTAGTTCTTTTCTTGGAGTTTTGTTCTGTTCTTTCATTTGGGACATGTTTCTTTGTCTCCTCATTTTGGCCTCCCTGTGATTGTTTCTATGTATTGAGTAGAGTTGTTATGTCTCCTAGGGTTCCTAGGGTGGCCTGTTGTAGTAAGTATTCTGTAGGGTCCAGTGGCACAGCCTCCTTGGTCACCCAGCTGGGCCCTCAACGTGCACCCCTAGTGTGGATTTTACACCCTTCTGTTGGAATTGAGTCTTGATTGCAGTCTCAATGTGGCTTCTTTAATTTCATAGTTGTAGAGCTTCCTTTTAGCTTGATTTCAGGCAGTTCTGAAGGATGTTTATTCTGTAGTTTATTTGTAATTTTGATGTGGTTGTGGGAGGAGGTGAGTACCATGTTTACCTATGCCACTATCTTGACTGGAAGTTTCATTCCTTTTCTTTTTTTTTATCCTCACCCGAGAACATTTTTCCATTTTTGTTCAGATAGAGTGGGAGGGAGAGAGAGGAAGAGAGAGAGTGAAACATTAACATAAAAGGACCACATTAAGTGGCTGCTTCCCGTACAATACCAACTAGGGCCAGGGTTAAATTGCAACCGAGGTAAATGCCCTTAACCAGAATTGAACCCGTGACTCATTGGTCTGTGGGCTGACACTCCAACCGCTGAGCCAAACCAGCCAAGGCTCATTCTTTTTCTTAAATAAAAAGTTGTGAAGCATGTTTTGAATATTGTGATAAAGATCCCAAATGCAGTTCAAGATTTGCTTATCTGATTGCTTGGCTTAATGAATAGCTGTCCAGCTGTTCAAAATTTGGCCGTAGGTTGAAAAAACATGACATCATCATTTGAAACAGCCTTAGACAAAGTTATAAAACAAGAGAATTTTCAGATGGGAGTAGTGGTGGGGGCTAGGTGAAAAAAGGTGAAGGGGTTAAGAAGTGCAAATTGATAGTCACAGAATAGTCATGGGGATGTAAAGTACAGCATAGGAAAAATAGTCAATAATAGTGTAATAGCTATGTATGGTGCCAGGTGGGTACTAGACTTATCTGGAGAACCCCTTCGTAAATTATATAAATGTCTAACCACTTCGCTGTACACTTGAAACTAATATAAAATAATATTGAATGTCAAATTTAATTGAACAATTTTCTTTTTTTTAAAGAAGAAAGAAAGCATGATAATTTGATCTTCAGAAAATGTCACATTCTCTTTCTAACCTGATCTCGTATTCAGTGCTCTCTTCTTCCTTTCAGCCGAGCCTCACTACGAAGGCAATCCAAGTCCTGCTTTGGCCATGCTGCTTTTCACCAAACGTGACCTTTGTCTCTTTGTAGCTGTTCAGAAAATACAACAGGCCCCAAAATGAAGTCACTTGTGGTAAGCCCCACCAAGACTTTATATGTAACCTAATTTCAGTTTCACTTTCTCCCAGGAGTGAAATTTTAAATTAGTCTGGACTTTCTTAATAAACATTAGTGAGGTAATCTGCTTGATAAGATTCCTTCCCTTTCCTTAAAAAAAAAAGGTGACTTTGCCTGAAATAATCCGCTCTTTTAACGTCTTTGTCTCATCTTCATTTTGCCTATTAAAACCTCCCATGTTTGTGTGGCCAGTGTGGGTCAGTGGTTGAGCATTGACCCATGTACCAAGAGGTCACCAGTTTGTGGGCCCAATCCCCAGTGGGGGGAATGCAGGAGGCAGCCAATTGATGTTTTCTCTCATCGATGTTTCTATCTCTTTTTCCATCTCACTTTCTCTCTCTCAAAAATCAATAAAGAAAATAAATAAATAAATAAATAATAAATAAATAACCTCCCATGTTGTATAACTCCTCAGAACTCCCCTGTATTTGCTACTTGGGATGCTGCCTGATTCATGAATCATTCAGTAAAACCAATTAGATCTTCCCATTTACTTGGTTGAATTGTGATTTCACATAGGATAAAATTCAACTCCCTTAGATTAAAGAAATTTTGTTTTTGTGATTTGGACCTTACTTAGCTCAGGAATTTGCCAGTGTGTTCATTTTTTTTTTTTCCTGAATTCATAGTTGTTTCTTTTGTCCCACACTTTGTCAAAGAGTTCATTTAAATAGCACACTTCTTCCTCACCTAAGTTAGGAACCAATTGAGAAATGAGACAAAAGTATAATGCATATGGGGACTGAAATATGAACGTTGTTAACTACCAATACAGCTGATATTGGACAATTTTCCCATTGGTGAACAAGTAGACTTCCTAATAACAGTTCCCAGATAGTCATACTAACCAAGTCATAGGCAGTGCTGGACAAGGGCAGACCTCCCCACACTTGGTCCCCAGGTGCCCCATAAGGTACTTCCCTACTTGCAGCCTATGTCCCAAGCAGAAAGAGAGAAGAAGGGGCTGGCCTACTTAAGCCTAGTGTCTCCTTGCGAAATTTCCAGTTATATTAACTCATTCTTCCTCAGAGGACTGAATGAGCTGCAGATAGGATGGGGTGAGGAAGGCCAGGATTGTTAGGCATGTAGAGACCCTCTGGATGCTGTAGAACACAAGGAGTGGAGAAGAAACATCACTCCAGTAAGATGGACTGACTTTCCAGCTTCACTTTTCTTATTGCCAAAGCACAGAGTTCTTTTAATGAGGATTTATGAATGGTGGAGTTTTTATTACCTGTGTGTCTGAAAATATCTTTATTTTTCTCTCACTTTGGAAAGATTATCTAGTTGGTGGTTTTCAGAAGCTCCACAGCTCGTCCTCAGTAAGTGCTGTGGTGGGAAAGGGAAAGAAAAGTTCTAATATGGAGTTGGGGGGCGGAGGGGGTGTCCCAGGTCCTACTTTCCAGCTACAGCAATTCTGTCTTTATTTATTTTTTTTACAAATTGGGTTTCTGCATATTATTGAGAACAAAGATCATATCAATAGATCAAGTTTAAAAATATTGTTGTAGACTAATTTTTCTTATAATAAAAATAACAACAAACACTTAAATAGCACTTCTAAGCCAAACACAACATTAAATGATTTCTTGTGTATGTGTACAAACATTAATTTAATTCCCAAAACAACCTTGTAAAATAGTTTAATGATATCCTCTTTTATAGATGAGATTAGAGCACAGAGGAGTTTTTCATAGAATGTGCATTGACCCATGGCTTTTGGATAACCACACGTGTCCCATCTATAAACTTGATGTCATCAAAGCCCTTGGATACTGAGGTGAGCTTGAGGATGTCCAGGAGATGCCTGTTCCAGAATCAGTCCCTGAGAGTATTTTGGCTGCAAGTCTGAGTATCACTATGCAAGACAATGACAGAAGTGATGGGAGCAATTCACCATCTTCCTTCACTAATGAACCCATGCCTCAGTGCGATGTACGTTTTAAAGAAGATGCAGATGAAAACACAGCCTTAGCAGATAGAGATGGGCAGGAGTGACCTTCAGTGTGGAGGACCTGTTTCCTAGTGCATTTGCCACTGACAGTGGCATGGACAGAACTTTGAGTTAAAGGACATTTTATTGTGTTTACTTTAGCACATAGTTTGTATATTTGAAAATCATGTACATTCTTTTACCTCTCATGTTCTGATTTGATATACAAAGGGCTAAGCTATTTTATTCTTGAAGAGACTTATTGATTAGTGTTCATACACTTTCTACTAAAGTATATCATTTACAATAAATAATGCTGTTTCAAACTGTGTATAGAGGAGGTGACTAGGAAGGCATGATAATGTCAAGGATGGGCAGTGTTTCTAAATACCAGACTAGCTACCACGGAACTCATAAACACGATAAATTCTGTCTCTCAAGGGTGGTTTTAGACTAAGCACCCTTAATTTAGACTATTTGAAGTGGATTGTGTAATTAAATCCCATAAACTAATTACCAGTTTTCCCTGAAAGAAAGACTTTTTTTATAATGTTAAATTTATAAGTGAGATAAGAGAAATCTACAGCTTTCTTGCACTTTGGTATTATTTAGAGATTTCTAAACATGAGAAAACTTTTTTTTTATTATTATATTACCTAATTTCTTATGACATTTTGATTAGAAGCTTGTTCATTTTTTTTTCAACAAATAAAAATGCTAAGAATCTGTATTTTTTTAAAAAAAATACAGATAAGTGAAATAATTTTTCTGAAGTTATACAGCTAGTTAAGTGACCCTGGTATTCTGAATTCAGAGTGCCTATTATAAACAATTGTACCATTGTGAGGTCTAGGAAGTTAGAACGAATACCACATCTAAATAATGGATGGGGAGAAAAAATAATCTAAATTTCTTTACTTTCCTTCAAGAGTTTTCTTATTATACCACACCTATTTTCAGGGTGGCCACTTACTCTGTGCACAGGAAATGTTGACCCTGACTAACGTATTTACTGCTGGTGATTTAGTGGAGGTGACTGCACACTTGGATATTCAACATCCTACTTGATTTCACCAGTTGGATGACTCACAAGCTCCTTAAACTTAGGAAGTCCCGAACAGGACTGGTGATTCCACACCCCACAAACCTGTCCATCCTATCCCATCTGCTTTCAGTAAATAGCATGATCTTTTGTCAATTGCTCAAGCCAGAAACTTGTTCATCATCTTTAATTGCTCCCTGTGTTCACCTCCCCCATCCAGCCCACCAGCAAGCGTTTTTGCTACAAACCCCACAATGCAGCTGGAATCTATATCATTCCTTCCAGCAGCACTGTGCCACCATAAGAAAAACAGCACAGTAGCTGTTACACCCATAGCTTTTCTTTATCTCCACAGAATGAGCTCCATCTACACACCATCTGCTTTTCCGGAGGTCTGCAGTCAGTATGCTCAGTAACAACACTCTATCCCATTCCTTTTCTTCTTTGGTAACCTTATTCTGTGGACAATAAATGTCACAAATATCTCCAGTTTATCCCAGTAAATCACATTTCCACAAACATTTCTTTCAAGGAACATTAAGAAATTGTAGATATACACAGCTACAACTGTCAATTTATTTCATGTTTGATCTGATTTCTAATTTGTATGGCTGCAAAGTTGTTATATTTGAAGTAAGCTACGCAGGTATATTCCCCTAATTTGTCACAAAACTCTTTTGCTATCTGTTTCAGTATTTAACTTTTCAAGATTCTATATCAAAAGTTAAATTTCAAACAAAGTATTTAAGCTGTTTTGAACTTGTTTAGTTTAGACATATTTTAATCTTCTTGTTATTATATTGGCATGTTACAATTAATGGCCCACTTGAAATTTCATTAAATCTTCTATTATCAGAGGTGTATAACTGCAGCATAAAACATTTTCTCCAGGCTGAAACTTGTTATACAAGATCTCAGCCTAGAACCAATTTAAAAAATTAGTCATTAAACAGTTTGTCTTTGAATGCAGATTTGTCATTTTCATTAATTTTTTTTACTAAGCTGTTTAACCAGGTCTATACTCCCACATGCTAATATTCTAAAAACTGTTTTTGAAATATTCATATGAATAATGATGAGAAATATGAGAAAAAGTACTTTCTCCTTTTAGATGGAGGAATGGTATTTTCCCCATGCCCAGTGACCTCTAGTCTAGTCCTTCTGGCTAACCATTGCCATCATATAAACGTCCATTGCTCTTCCAAGGTTAAGGAGATCCATCGCCTATCTGAGCAAGATAGAGAGTGGAATCCTAATATTATTTTCAATAAATTTTCTTTTTATTCAGTCCTATATTCACATTCTATTAAAAGAGGTACCAGGTACCCCTAGTTTTTGAGGTTCCTCACGGTTCTGCAATGAAAATCAGATGGAATAATGATAAAGAGCACAGTTACTTAAGTTCACAGGAAATTATGCCTACTTCAAAGAACTTTGATGAGATTGCCTTTAGTCCACCAATGTTTGTTGAATGTCTGATATATACCAGGCGCTGTTTTAGGTGTTGTGGTTATGGCACTGAACAAAACAGAGATAATAAATGCTAAAGATTTTTCATAATGCCTGAGACACAGAAAGCACTCAATAAATGTAGGTTGTTCTCAGTATTATTTTGATCTTTATCATCAGCATCAATATGAACTAATAAATATCTGGAGAAGACCAAGGTCATGAAATATTTGGAAATCCGGAATATAATAAATGCTTGAATGAACAGTGAAAATACAAAGAGAAAAGTGAGCAGAATTAATCCACTTTTCAAAGATAAGAACTAGGAACAAAAGGTAGATGGCTTGATATAAAAATGAAATCTCACCAAGTGAATGAGGTAGCTGTGAGGGAGGGATTAGTCCTGATGTGGGTCTGACACATAGGAACTCTATAAAATTTCTAGAAATATACATTTTTTTGTCCTGCTTGGAATTTTGACTCATTTGTTTTTAGATGAGTCACTTAACTTCTTTGGGTGTCAGTTTGGGGTTCTCGTGTGTAAAAAGATGAGGCCACTCTCGGTGACCTCTAATGGCTTCTTAGCTTTAACATACTAAGGCTAATTAATGAAAGCCACCTGAGAAACTTTTCCATACTTGTTTCCAGTTCTGATTTTCTTTTTTTAATTCAAATTTTATTTTATTTTTTTCATTACCTTTTATTCCCTCTACCACCTCGACCCCACAATCACTAGTGTTGTCCATGTCCACGAGTTTTCTCTCTCTTTTTTTATTTTGCTCAATCCTCCACACCCCAACACCCCACCCCTTCACCCCCAAGAGTTGTCAGCCTGCTCTCAATCTAGGAATCTGTCTCTATTTTGCTCGGTAGTTCAGTTTGTTCATTAAATTCTACATATAAGTGAAATCATATGGTACTTGTCTTTCTCTGACTGGCTTATTTCACTTAGCATAATGTTCTCCAGGTCCATCCACGCTGTTACAAAGGGTAAAATTTTCTCCCTTTTTACAGCAGAGTCATATTCCATTGTGTAAATGTACCCCAGTTTTTTAATCCACTCATCTACTGATGGATACTTGGGCTGTTTACAGATCTTGGCTATTGTAAATAGTGCTGCAATGAACATAGGGGTACATACATTCTTTCAAATTAGTGTTTTGGGTTTCTTTGGATAAATTCCCAGGAGAGGAATCACTGGGTCATAAGGCAATTCCATTTTTAATGTTTTCAGGTAGTTCCATACTGCTTTCCAAAGTGGCTGTACCAATCTGCATTCCTACCAACAGTGCATGAGGGTTCCCTTTTCTCTACATCCTCGCCAACACTTGTTGTTTGCTGATTTATTGATGATAGTCATTCTGACAGGGGTGAGATAATATCTTATTGTGGTTTTAATTTGCATTTCAGTTTCTGCTTTTCTTTGGAGCTAGAAATGTGGAGAATTCTGGTCCATGAATGGAATATAGTTCTTATTTTTGTTTTCCATTTGACTTTAAAGATTAAAAAGTACATGAATTATATTTAAAAGAAACTTTGAGCTTTGCTAACAGGTGGAGATGGCTCAGTAAATAAAAACGTTATTTCAGAGAGAATAATGTGCAGTGTAGGTAAAACTAAACATTTATTCTTGGTTCTGAAACCAAAGTTATTAAAGTGAACAAAATTGCAAATCCATGTTGCTTTGAGAAACAGTTCTTGCTTGGCAATATTAGGATATTAGTTCTGATATGCACTGAAGGTTAATGCCATAGTGCCTAGGAGAATTATTGAGAATAAGACAAACTTTCCTAGCATACGTAGTTTTTGTAAAAAATACCTTTTTCCATTTTTCTTTAGTGCTTTCTTTCTTCCTTGTCTCTGATTTTCCTGTGCCATTTCCTTTTGCTCTAACTCAACAATCATTTGAGCGTATATTATGTGCTCAGCATGACTGATGAAGGATAGGGAAGGGAATATAAGGAAGTGTAAGGCGTGGTCCCTGATTTTGAGAGATCTATAAATTATTTAAGGAAAAAAGGATGGAAAAGAAACTAAGCTCTTACAGTGACCTTGGCACTGTACTAAGTGCTGTGAAGACAAAGATTCCTGCCTTCAAATAGTTTACAATCTAGTGTTTGGCAGATATTACTCTTGTTTTCCTTGTTTCCTTTTTTCCCTGTTTCCTTTTTAAAATTAAATTTATTGGGTGACACTGGTTAGTAAGATCATATAGGTTTCATGCGTATGTTTCCAAGATGCACAATCTGTATATTGCATTGTGTGCACACCACCCACAGTCCAGTCGTCTTCCATCACCACATATTTGGGACATTGCTCTTTTAATCCTCTCAACAACTGGTGAGATCCTTAGCATATCCTCATTTTTCCCGTTAGAAGTTAAGAAAGGTGTCCACGTATGTCTGAACGTAAAGCCACGTTTCTCTCTATGACACTGTATGGCCTTACAGGAACAGTAGACTATGATGGGATCAAGGGCATTGTGGAGAGGAGTACGCTATACTTTATAATAGGCATGTGGGAAAAGGAGACAATATTACAGGTTGTTGGAAAAGATGGGTGAGGACTTTATGGAGAGGTGGGGACTTGAGTCATTTTCTCCCTTCATTCTTTAATGACCTATTTATTAAGCACTCTATGCCAAGCTCATTGCTATACCTGCTTAACTGCTGTGACACATACATTTTAAAAAGGACCGATGCCTACAGAGATAGTTACAACCCATATTTTATAAAATATGTTATGTAGTGGATAATAGCCATATTTCATAACATTTTTATTTTCCTAAGTTCCACTCACAAAAATGAATTTCAATTTCTTGAATTAAGATGAACCCCTACAGTGGTTCTCAACCTTCCTAATGCCACGACCCTTTAATACAGTTCCTCATGTTGTGGTGACCCCCCAACCATAAAATTATTTTTGTTGCTACTTCATAACTGTAATTTTGCTACTGTTATGTCTTAGGCGACCCCTGTGAAAGGGTTCTTTGACCCCCAAAGGGATAGCAACCCACAGGTTGAGAACCACAGCAAGCTCTTAAAAAAAAAAAAAGTCAACCAAAATGTCTACTTATGTTTGGTTTTCACTTTAAAGAAATATTTAGCACAATTGTTTCTCAAATTGACTGAGCAAAGTAATCACCTGGAGCACTTCTTACAAATAGAGATTACAGAAAAAAATCTGGAAATTTATATTTTTAACAATGTCACAAGGTTATTTTTATCATCATCAAGTTTGAGAATCACTAATTTAGCCCAAAGCCATTTGAAATTTAGCCTTGGATTTCTTGATAATCAATTCAAATTTGCCCAGTCTAGGCTGATTTGACACAGCTCTGTAAACATCAGTCAGATCATTTGGCCAGATGGACTTAAAATTGGCCTTACAATTTTTTAAAATATGATTTTGTTGATTTTTTAGAGAGTGAGGCAGGCAGAGAGAGACAGAAACATCTATATGAACAAGAAACTTCTATCGGCTGCCTCCTGCATGCCTCCTACTGGGGATTGAACCTGCAACCTGGACATGTGCCCTGACTGGAAATTGAACTGAGACCTCTCAGTCCATGGGACAATGCTTAATCCACTGAGCCACACTGGCCGAGCTGGCCTTAAAGTTTGATGGAAAAACATCAGTCTGAACTAGATTTAGGTGAACAAAATTTAACATAGTTGTTTTTTAATGTATTAATGAAAAGAAAAACACCTGAACTCAAATTAGTGCCATTTCAAAATTTCTAAGAATGTGCTTTCAAGAGAAGGCAATGAGACGGTGTAGGTAAAAAGACAGTGGCAGTAGCATTCACTTCCATTTTTTGAATGAGTATTTGAAGCAATTCAAGCATGTAGGAATTATGGAAACTTGTTTTTAGGAAAAGATTATTGTTTGTTTGTTTGTTTTCAGTTTTAACAGAGTTCAAGGCTGGAGAGCATAGGAGTGATCAAGAATTTTAGTGACAAAATTTTCAGATACTAACTAGAGGAAGTTAGTAAAGACAAAGATCTGTTTTACATATAAAATGCCTGATAAATATTTCTTACTGGTGATTATGATAAGCTTTCTTAAACCCAGGGCTTTTTTCTTTTATGTTTTGATTAAGAAACTATGGACTGAACTGTGGGACAGGGAAGAAAACGTACTTGAGCTTTTCAGTCATTAGTGGCAAGGACTAATGTGATCTTAGTTTTGCGTTGTTCCTGGAATGAACTTGCTGTGTGGTTTTGAGAAAGTAACTTAACTTCTCTGCTTTTTATTTTCAATCTCTGTCAAAGAAACTTCACCAACAATACACATTCTATGTATCTTATAGATTAATGTGATGGTTAAATGAGATAAAGAGCATAAATACAAAAAGTTATTAAACTCCACTGATAATCAAAAAGTCTGTATATTTTGTTTCAAATGGTCTGAAAATCTTGCTTCCACACTGTTCAAAAAGATATTTGGTCAGGGAACCTACCTCAGGCAAAGCCAAGTCCTCCCAGTGCCTAGATTCTCTGAGGTGACACAGTTATTCACCAGAAATCATTTCAACATCAAAGAATACAGAACAGTAGTGTGGGAGCCATTCTCGTAAACCTACCTGTTCCCTGTTCTACTTGTTTAGCAGCTCAGTAGAGACTGTCTCTATCTACTGCTGTCCATTTGTACCCTTTTCATGAGCCTGTAACTCAGCAGCTTATGTTCTTTCCTAATTTAAATGCTGTTGCTTACTTGGAATACCAAGTGGGAAAATGCGGGCAACGCAAAGGTTAATAGAAGTGCTGACACAACCCTAATTACAGCAGCAGCAGACCTATCTGGATAATTGTAGCTCTTATCTCAGTTTCTCATACTCTCAGCCCACTGAGATCTGCCTCAAGCTAAGGATGAAAAGGGGGCCTCTGGAGTTGCTTGAAGAGCAGCTGTCTGATAGAGCTATCAGGCTTGTGCAGATACAGTGCCTGCCACTGTTGGATGGTTGTCATAATCAGCGTTTAGGCAAAACACCTGGACTTCTGCAAGGACCACCCCTCCCCTCCCCTCTTCAGCTCTACACTGGTGCCTCTTCATTCCTCTAACTGGGAGGGAGGATGAAACTGAAAGGGATAAAGGTGCTAGTCTGAACTGGTTGTCGGAGGCTTGACTGAATGTTTCCCATTAGGTCATTGTTTATCCTCATTTGAATATATGTTTATGTTTATTTTTATTCTTAGGACTGTGTTGGAAGCTTGCCCAACTCATCTATAGTAACTGAGTGTAGCATTTAAAGCCCACACATGCTGATGCTTGTTGAATGTAATTGGCCATGCTACATAGTGATGGCTTTGGGAGGGTGGAGATGGTAATTTTGCAACTTTGGGATCTCAAGTCAGCTAATTTAATGAGGTTCCAGATTCCTTGCTGTCAAAAGAAACTAATGACATTGACCATCATCATTGTTTATTTTGTTGTTAGCATTGAATGTTTACCTAAATTCTGTACCTTTATGTTGCCAACTAGACCAAATTATTGGGTTAATATGTGAAGGTGGAAAGGTTGGTAAAGGGTATTTTAATTTTAACTTTTGTAATCTTTGTGTGTTTGGTTCTGCTTAAAGAGTTCATGGAGGTAACATCTATGTGAAATCATCTATCATCTATCTAGCCATCCATTTATCCATATCTATTATTTATTTATTCATTTATTACTGGGTTTGCTTAAGCTAGTTATAGGGTACATGTATGACACTATTATGTGTATGAATAGAGATATATGTGTTCTATATTTTTACCCTGAGCCTTGTAGGTCATGGAGCTAACATTTTTCAGAAGCAATTGTGTATATAGAAAGACACTTCTGTCACTATGTTGAACACCTGAAACAAATATAATATTGTATATCAAATGTAATTAAAAAAAATTTAAAAACCACTTCTACAACTTTCTATTGATTTCAATCCAAAGGCAACGACTAATGTCTAATGCACAGGTTTGCTTTTGGTTCCTCAAGTCAACCCCTTTCCCAGCAGAATTTAATATACTCAAGACCACATTCTGGTCATTTAGTCTGATCCTTTATTCACACTATGGTTTAGTAAGTTATCCATTCACAGTAGCACTTTTGTTTGAAAGGGGGTATGTAGAGATATAAGAACTGATCCTAATACAATAAAATGGGTCACTAAAAATGACAGAATTCAGTGATTGGCAGCAATGATATTTTTAGAAATAAGGCCTTCCACAGTAATCATCACTTCTATAATCAGCTTTGTAGAGAGGTCCCTACTCTGGGCCCTGACTATAACCCCTGAGTCATAGCAGTGAGTGGGTGTATGAGTGTTTGGGTTTGTTTACTCATGCAAAGTACATGCTGAAGGAAGAGCTACTGAAACTTAAAACAGCTCCACAAAACATTGTAAAGGATTACACAATGACAAGCAACACCCTGAATAATTAAATATATGTGCAAATGACAGACCTAAAACTCAGTTGTAGTATATTGTCACATGGCTAATAATAGTAATGATATTAATAATTATAAGCCAGCATTTGTTTAGCTTTTATTATATGCCGGAACTGCATTAAGTGCTTCATTGTGTTATGAAATTCTTGCAGCTACTCTGTGAGGGACATACAGTTATTATTTCTATTTTAGATGGTGATCTGTGGCATAAGGAACTTCAGTAAATTGTTCTATATGGTAAGTTGTCAAAGTTGGGTGAAATTCAGGTGACTCTCATGCCAAATCCTGGGTCTCCAATCAGTTCACATACTATGCTACTTACCACAAAGCCAGTTCAGGGTTTTCTGTAATTTATATTATCTTCTTAGAGGATTTGATGGGTTTGCTCAAGTCAAGGGGGAAAATGGCTATTTAGGACACAGCTTACATGTATCTAAGCCACAAACTCTATGAACTACTTGTTCATAGACACCACTTAAGTATCTAGTTATTGTCAGAATCAGATCAGATAAAGAGAAAAAAGTCATATTTGAGACCATAAAGAGAAAAATTTTATTTTTTAAACTATATTTTTATTCATTTTTTAGAGAGAGAGGAAGAGAGAAGGGGAGAGAGATAGAAACATCAATGAGAAAGAACATAGATAGGCTGCCTCCTGCATGCCCCCCACTGGAGATTTGGCAGAAAACCTGGGCATGTGCCCTGACCGTGAATTGAACCGGCGACGTCTTGGTGCATGGGTCGACACTCAACCACTGAGCCACACCAACCGGGCTTATTTTATTTATTTTTTATTAATTTATTTTTGTTACAGATGTTTCTCCTTTTCTCCCATTGACACCCTCCTCCCCATCTGCTCTACCCGGTCCCTAGCTTTGTTGTCCATGTCCATCGGTTATGTGCACACGCATATAAATTCTGTTGATTATCTCTTCCCTCCCCTCCCAACCTCTTCTGAGGTTTGTCAGTCTGTATCCTACTTCTACGTCTCTGGGTCTACACTGTTTCTCAGACTGTTATGTTCATTATATTCCACAAATAAGTGAGATCATGTGATATTTGTCTTTCTCTGCTTGGCTTGTTTTGCTTAGGATAATACTCTCCAGGTCCCTCCATGTCATCTCAAAAGATAAGAAATCTTTCTTTCTTACAGCTGCATAGTACTCCAATGTGTATATGTACCAACTCTTTTTTATCCATTCATCTACTGATGGACACTTGGGCTGTTTCCAGATCTTAGCTATTGTAAATAGTGCTGCTATGAACATGGAGGTACATATATTCTTTCTGAAGGGTGTTTCAGGCTTCTTAGGGTATATTCCTAGAAGTGGGATCACTGGGTCAAATGGAAGTTCAATTTTTAATTTTTTGAGGTAACACCATAGTGTTTTCCATAGTGGTTGCACCAGTCTGCATTCCCACCAGCAGTGTACTAGAGTCCCCTTTTCTCCACACTCTTGCCAACACTTGTTGTTTGATGATTTGTTGATGGCGGCCATTCTGACAGGTGTGAGGTGATACCTCATTGTTGTTTTAATTTGCATTTCTCTGATGATTAGTGATGTTGAGCATTTCTTCATATGTCTCTTGGCCATTTGTATGTCCTGTTTGGAGAGGTATCTATTCAGCTCCTCTGCCCATTTTTTAATTGGGTTCTTTGTCTTCCTTTTGTTGAGTTGTATGAGCACTCTATATATATTGGAAATTAACCCCTTATCTGATGTATCATTGGCAATTATGCTCTCCCATACAGTGGGTTCCCTTTCCATTTTGATGGCTGTTTCTTTTGCTGTGCAGAAGTTTTTGAGTTTGATGTAGTCCCTTGTGTTCATTTTCTCCTTTGTTGTTGTTTCTGTTGCCTTAGGTGATGTATCAGTGAAAATTCTGCTGTGTATGATGTCTGAAATTTTGTTGCCTACATTTTCTTCTAAGATTTTTATGAATTCATGAGTCACTTTTAAGTCTTATCCATTTTGATTTTATTCTTGTGTATGGTGTAAGTTGACGGTCTAGTTTTATTTTTTTGCATGTAGCTGTCCAATTTTCCCAACACCATTTCTTAAAGAGGCTGTTTTTACTCCATTGTATGCTCTTGTCAACTTTGTCAAATACTAATTGAGCATAATGTCTTGGGTAAATTTTCGGGTTCTCTGTTCTGTTCCACTGGTCTATATGCCTGTTCTTGTGCCAGTACCAGGCTGTTTTAATTACAGTAGCTTTGTAGTAAAACCTGATATTCACTAATGTGATTCTGCCTATTTTGTCCTTCTTTTTTAAGATTGCTGTGGCTATTCAGGATTTTTTTTTTTGTTTCATATGAACTTTTGAAGTATCTGTTCTAGTTCTGTGATGTATATCGTTGGTACTTTGATGGGGATTGCATTGAATCTATAGATTACTTTGGGTAATATGGACATTTTAATGATGTTAATTCTAATACATGAACAAGGTGTGTGCCTCCACTTTTTTATATCTTCCTCTATTTTTTTTTCAATGTCCTATAGTTTTCTGCTAATAGGTCCTTTACTTCTTTGGTTAAGTTTATTCCTAGGTATCTTAATTTTTTTGCCGCGATGATAAATGGGATTTTTTTTAGTTTCTCTTTCTGTGAGTTCATCATTGGTGTATAAGAGTGCTGTCAATTTCTTAATGTTAATTTTGTATCCTGCTACTTTGCCAAATGCATTTATTATGTCTAGTAGATTTTTAATGGAGTCTTTAGGGGTTTCTATGTATAATATTATGTCATCTGCAAATAATGACAGTTTCACTTCCCCCTTTCCAGTTTGGATCCCTTTTATGTTTTTTTCTACTCTGATTGCTGTGGCTAAGACTTTCAGTACTATGTTAAATAAGAGTGGCAAAAGTGGGCCACTCTTTTTTCTTAAGAGAAATGTTCTGTTCCTGTTCTTAAGAGAAAGGTTTTAATTTTTGCCCATTGAGTATGATGTTGGATGTAGGTGTTTTATATATGGCCTTTATTATGTCGAGATATGATCCCTCTATTTCCACATTACTGAGTTTTTTAAATCAGAAATGGATGCTGGATTTTGTGGAATGCTTTGTCAGCATCTATTGATATGATCATATGGTTTCTCTCTTTCATTTTGTTTATATGGTGTATCACATTTATTGATTTGTGAATATTGTACCAGCCTTGCATCCCTGGGATGAATCCTACTTGGTCATGGTGAATAATTTTTTTGATGTATTGCTGGATTTGATTTGGTAGTATTTTGTTCACGATTTTGGCATCTAGGTTCATCAGGGTTATTGGCCTGTAGTTTTCTTTCTTTGTAGTGTCTTTTTCTGGTTTTGGAATTAGAATTATGCTGGCCTCATGACATGAGTTTGGAAGTCTTCCTTCTTCTTGAATTTTTTGGAATAGTTTAAGGAGAATGGGTTTAGTTCTTTGAATGTTTGGTAAAACTTCCCCCATGAAGCCATCTGGGCCTGGGCTTTTGTTTACTAGGAGAGTCTTGATTATATCTTCAATTTTCTTAGTTGTTATTGGTCTGTTCAAGTTTTCTATCTCTTCCTGGTCCAGTTTAGGGACACTATGTGTTTCTAGAAATTTGATAATTTTGCTTAGATTGTCAAATTTGTTGCCATATAATTGTTCATAGTATTTGTTACTGATTTTTTTTTTTTTTTTTGTATTTCTGTGGTGTCAGTTGTTACTTGTCCTCTTTCATTTATGATTTACTTTATTTGGATTTTCTCTTTTTGTTTCTTGGTGAGTCTAGCTAAGGGTCCATCAGTCTGGCTCATCTTTTCAAAAATACAGCTCTTTGTTCATTGATCCTTTGAATTGTTTTTTTGGTCTCTATGTCATTTATTTCTGCTCTGATTTTTACTATTCCTTTCCTTCTACTTACTCTGGGGTTTTCTTTTTGTTTGCTTTCTAGTTCTTTAAGTTGTGAGGTTAGATAGTCTATCAGAAATTTTTCTTGTTTCTTGAGGTAGGCCTGTAGTGCTATGAATTTCCTTCTCAGGACTGCTTTTGCTGTGTCCCATAGATTTTGTGTTGCTGTGTGTTTATTTTTATTGGTTTCCAGGAAGTTTTAATTTCTTCGTTGATCTCCTTGGTAACCCATTCATTGTTTAATAACATGCTATTTAGCCTCCATGTGTTCAAATGTCTGTGCATGTTCTTGTTGCAATTGATTTCTAGTTTCATGCCATTGTGATCTGAGAAGATGCCTGATATAATTTCAATCTTCTTAAACTTGTAGAGATTTAGTTTGTGTCCTATCATGTGATTTATTTTTGAGAATGTCCCATGTGCACTTGAGAAGAATGTGAATTCTGTAGTTTTGTGGTATAATTCTCTGTAGATATCTATTAAGTCCTTTTGGTCTAGTGCTTCATTTAGAGTCTCTGTTTCCTTGCTAATTTTTTATCTAGAGGATATATCCAGTGGTGTCAATGGCATGTTGAAGTCCCCTGCTATGATTGTATTGCTGTTGATTTTTTCCTTGAAATCCTCCAGAAGATTTTTAATATATTTTGGTGCTCCTATATTGGGTGCATATATGTTTATCAAGGTTATATCTTCCTGTTGGATAGATCCTTTCAATATTATGTAGTGGCCTTCTTTGTCTCTAGTTATGGCCTTCATTTTGAAATCTTTTTTATCAGATATGAGTATTGCTACCCCAGCTTTATTTTATTTTCTGTTTGCTTGGAAGATTTTTTTTTTCATCCCCTCACTTTCACCCTATGTGAATCTTTTATTGTGAGGTGGAACCCTTATAAACAACATATATATGAGCCATACTTTCTTATCTAATTAGCTACTCTGTGTCTTTTTATCAGAACATTCAATCCATTTACATTTAAGGTGATTTTTGATATGTACTTATTTATTACCGTTTTTGTTAGTGTGGTTATATATATTTTTCCTATTTTTTCTACTAATTACAACATTCCTTTTAACATATCTTGCAGTGCTGGTTTGGTGCTAATATATTCCCTTAGCCTTTTTTTTTTTTTGGTCTGGGAAGCTCTTTATTTGATCTTCTATTTTGAATGATAGCCTTGCTGGGTAGAGTAGTCTTGGATTCAGATCCTCGTTTTTCATGACCTTGATTACTTCATGCCATTCCCTTCTAGCCTGTAGTGTTTCTGTTGCGAAGTCAGCTGAGAGCCTTATGGGGGTCCCTTTGTAGGTAACCTGTTGCTTATCTCTTGCTGCTTTTAGGAT